TTAACTGTCAATATTAATATCCTCAAAACAATATTAACTTAAATTCACCGACATCTATTACACCTCGTGAGAATGCATGCTACGTGTGTCGCCCTACAAACTTGCATTTTGTAAGAGAAGGACTTTTCAAGGGCCCATTAATTTCCATAAGTCAAAACCAAATTCATGACGAACGAAATTAATAGTCGGTCTCCATTTAGCCATGCAATAAATCCAGGGACCCCGTGGGGAGTTTATAGATAAATCGCATTCTAAATGAATCCCATTTTTCGATTCTGAGGATGTCAAAATTGATTACACGTCCCCCGTGGAGAGGCCCGTGCGCGCTCTTAAGATTCCCTCTAACCGTCTAATTTTAGAAATTTGTCCTGGTAATTTCCTACAACCAATTTTAGAAATGTCACCCGAGGGGGAGCTCATAACCTCAATTAATTGATTTACCGACAAATTAGAATTGGAGGCCTTAGGAATTTCATAATTAACTTTAATTTTATATCCCTTCTCAAACTTAGTATAATTTAATGAGGATTTTTAACTATTTATACAATTCCAAATTAATCTATGTTAATGCAATAATTAATTAACATGCAATCCTAAATTAATTTATGTCAATGCAATAATTAATTAACATGTTCAATAATTTATGCAATTCTAAATTAATCCATGTCAGTGCAATAATTAATTACATGCATAATTTATTGACACAATTCCAAATTAATCCTATGCAATACATAATTAATTAACATGCATAATTAATCTTGCAATACTAAATTAATCCCATGCAAGAACATAATTAATTATCATGCATAAATATTAATTTAATGGCATAATAAATTTAATTAAATAAATAAATAAATCAACTATTATGGCCATTAAATATTGAGTCTCCTTAAACAAGGAAACTGTGACAGTTTTTTCCCTTTTCAACTGGAACTCCTTTAGGCAGTAGAATCTGGTTGATCTTGTACTGCTTGAACAACAAGGCAAAACCTTTCCACCTTCCTGCAAGCAACCACCGACAACCACCTCTGGCTGTCGCCCGCCGGTGGTCGGAAATTCGTTTATTTTTTTTCTATATATTCTTTAGGCTCGTTGATCTATTGTGATCTCTGGGTCATCAACACACGATCACAACACGAAAATATAATTTACAAAATTACATAATTCGATCCTAGATCCAACGAATGGATACATGTTTTCTAAACAAATAATTAAATCTATCCGGTCAACCCTCGGGCGAATAATTATTACAAACATTCATCCATAAATTCCTCGACATGTCTGAGGCTTTAAAAACAAATTTAAAACCATACATCACATTCAACAACATTCATCAAACACATACTCGGCCATAATAGTGGATTAACTATTTTCCTGCAAAATCGAGTTATGCAAATATAATCCAATACATTGCTGCGTTTGAACACATCTTGTCAAATAAAGCCGTAAAAATTCGAACTTTGTACAAAACGAATTAACCAAGTGCCTGATACTACTTGTTGGGATCTGTGAGGATCTTGTTATGTACAAGTCACGAAATCAATAGCAAACATAAACCTATGCGCAGCGGATCTAAAGGTTTGACGTAGAGAACTTACGACTTAAAATTTATGTAGATCTGGTTGACCATGAATGGTTGACCGCAATTGATTGACCGCAAATCACGTCTTGGGTTGCACGAACAAGATCAGATCAAAACTGGATCAAACGGGTGCAAACAGATGAAGACGAATATTGCAACCTGGGTGCTTCCGACGGCGCGTACGAGCGTGTGTGGCCTCAGAAGATTAATGATGTATATATAGAGCTACAGTAGGGACCCTTAGAAGATTAGGAAAAGGGCTCCCTAATTAATTAGACTAACTGTGGGTCAAGCCCACTCCTCTAATTACTTAAATAATATTAATACGCCACCAACATTATATTATTCCTAGCCCAAATTACATTTGAGACTCCAATAATAATTACTCGATTTACCTCCCCACGTTTAAGATATAATATCCATTAATTAATTCGATTACTGATAATCAAGAATTAATTAATTTATTATTATTTCACCGAAGCTAGCGCTCGTTCATCACATTATTATTATGTCGGAACTTAATCCACCTGCAGAGTTTAGCATAACAATCCTTCATGAACTCACTCCGGGGACATCGTCAAACTAACGCACATGGTGACCGTAAATATCCTAATACCACATCCTATATATAATAATATTACCCAAAACAGTCGGAATATTAATCCAACGAACTGAACCTCACCCATGTGACTCAAAGTAATATATATATTATATATATCTGTATGTTTAATATCTTACGGGTTAAGAGAATGCAGTAATTAACTGATGCCTAGTTCATTTACGACGATCAGTATAAAATGAACTTCTCTTCTCTGGGATCCTGTTCAATACATAAATGTACTAGTGCAACTAATCAGTCAAGACAAACTGTATAGTTGACACTACAACCGTTCGGATGGGGTGTTCATGTACATCTAGGTTGTGAACAACTATTCTTGTTCGCAAGTGACTGATAGAGTGATCTTTCGGTTCGCCCGATGACGACCCACCCTATCTAAGTGCAGAATAACAGAACGTAGAACTTGTTTAATCTAACACGATTCTCATTCATAAAGGGCAAAAGTGTAAGAACATGCAAAGCCAAGCTTTCAGTATATAACACTAACAATTACATACAGATCTTACGGCATTGAACAAAAGAAATAAAATAGAAGAAGCTCACATTTTTTACGGCTACTGATTTGGAAAGTCAGCGTCACAATTAACCTGCAGGAAAAAAGAAAGGCATTACCATTCAAAAATGGAGAGTAAAGTTATGTGTTATCTTTTGAATCCCATCTATGACATTCGACTTCGTGTGCAACAAGACCCACTCATTTCAGCAGAATAATAGCGGTGTGTGTTTGGATCGAGTTCAACCTTCAGCTGGGAAGCAAAAAAAATTCAACCAAAATAGTATACTATTACCCTCACAAATGCCTCGTCTGCGAGAAAGGTCGAGGTGCGGCAATGGTTGCAGAAGGGAGATATGTTGTGTTATACTGTACAGTTTAGGTTCCCTTTATGATGAGTGTTTGTGTGTTAGGTGGAGTGGCAATTTAGTAATATCTTGTACATGGAAGGATGTAATAGTCTAAAATTTAATAAATCAGGGACAATAAGGTAAAAGGACCAAAAAAATACTGTTGGGACACTAAGGGGGTGATTGTTTATCATCTCAACTAAAAAAAGAATCAATCAAAACTCAAATTTAACTCAACTCCACTATCTCCAATATATCAATATAATTAAATAATATCAACCAATCATTCTTATACATCACATCAACTTTAATTCACTATTAATCCACTCACATAATTTTAACTAACCATTACTTCCAATAATTTTTCTTCTACTTTTACATCATATCAACTTTAATCATTTTATTTTAAATTTTATTTTAATATATACACTAACAAGTAACCATACCACCTTTTTTTAAAAAAAAATTAATTATAGTTACAAAAAACCAATTAAAATCTAGTTGAATTTATAAACAATCACACCCTAAATATATCGCGGAAAATTTAGGATGAAAAAATCGTGCATACTGCCGACCAAAGTAAAAATCATCGCGGGCCAAGTCAGAATTTGCGAGCCTCAATCTCGTGCATCAAACGTCTGACAAGGGCAAAATAATGAGTCAATCTCATCCAATCTAGGCTATCAAATGTGCCCTAAGAGAATAAAAGAGATAAATACAACATCCACTAATCATGGTAAAAGTTATTTTAATTAAGCCATCATATTCGATTTTCTATTTAACTACGATTCATACAAACTAAATCAAATATATTAAATTATATATTCGTTTTACCAATGAAGAATTTATGATTATTTACAAATGCCCTACATATTATAATTTATTTACTAATAACCTTCAGTGTATAAATATTTCTAAAATAAATACAATTCGTACATCGCACGAGTTACGTACTAGTTATATATAGAGGGATTAGACAATTTCCCTACCTATCATAACTCTTTTATTTATTTATACACTTTAAATTATAATACTCCACTATATTTGATAGACAAATAAGGTAGTTTATACCATTGTTCTGAAAACCGGACCGGACCGGACCGCCCGGTTCAACCGGTTGGACCGGGAACCGGACATCATAGCGGTCCGGTCTAAGGTGTTTAACCGCTTGAGACGAAAACCGGTTAAAAACCGTGCGGACCGTTCAAAAACCGGTAAAACCGGAGAACCGAACACGCTTGGACGGCCGACCGGTTTCTGTGCTTCACACCCTTTCCATGCTCCTGAGTTTATTAAAAACACTCAATGCCTTTGATATTCTTTCTATGTGGGATTCTGTGACTTTTCTATTCTTCTTCTTTTTCGTTTAAACCTTTCACTTTTTAATCTTTTGGCTTGGGCCTGGGCCAAAAGCCCAATAAACCCTTTTCAGCTTTTTTTTTCTTTTTTTTTTTAAATATATGAATGCAAAGTGCAGCAGTATTCTCTACTAAAAGCCCACAACCGAGCCAGGACGAAACTATAAGATTTAATCTAATATATTTAAGCCAATTTTTTTTTAAAAAAAAATGCAAACATTTACTAAAAGATATATACAAACTTTACATATTAAATTTACCTCTTTAATGTTTAATATGATAATGATAAAAATGTACAATTATATATTATATATATTAAACTAATGATAAAAATATATATAATCATTACATAAAATATATATAATTATTTTATATGTAGAAAAATGTCATTATACACTATAAAATTAATGATAAAAATATATGCTATTATATATAATACATATAAAATAAATAAAAAATTATATATTAATTAAATCGGTTCGACCACTGGTCCGACCAGTGAACCATTGAACCGGTAGCTTCACCGGTTCGACGAACGGTTCGGTTTTCAGAACATTGGTTTATACTATATTTGATTAGTTTATAACCTTGATGATGTATTCAAATTAAAATACATCGAGAACTAGTTTACTTGATTGTACCATACCTTTATGGTTTTGTACCCTACCTGACATTTCCCCAATCACTGCCCACCTTAAACCCTGCCGGCGGCTGCTCAATTTCCCGGAGCCCCAGTCTCCGCCATTAACCCGCCTAATCTCGCTGCTAACATTAATGGCCGTCTAGAGCTCACCATCTGAATTTATCTTCATTCCGACCAAAACCCCTCCCCAAAATACTCTAGCACAATGTCGTTCCACTCCGCCGTAATCCAGAAGCTCCTCAGCGCGAACGCCCATATCGGCCGGCGCGTGACCGCCCACCACTTCAAAATCTTCTCCGAGGGCACCCGGAACTCCGTCAGCGTCATCGACTCCGACAAGACCCTCATCTGCCTGCGCAACGCCTGCAACTTCATCGGCCACCTCGCCCGCAACGATGCACGCTTCCTGTTTGTGAACACCAACTCGCTGTTCGACGAGATCATCTCGCAGATGACCCAGGCCGTCGGGATCAAGAACGACCCTACGTGGCGGCTCGGGGGATTTCTGACCAACAGTTCGAGCCCAAGGAAGTTTCGGGGGAGGAACAAGAAGTTCAACCTCAGCGCGGTCAGGGCCCCAGACTGTATTGTGATCTTCGACACGGAGAGGAAGAGCTCAGTGATTCAGGAGGCGCACAGGCTGCAGATCCCCGTGGTTGGGCTGGTGGACTCTAGCATGCCATGGGAGACTTACCAGAAAATAACGTATCCAGTGCCGGCTAATGACTCAGTAGAGTTTGTGTATTTGTTCTGTAATTTGATCACCAAGACGATATTGAAGGAGCAGAAGGAAGCTGCTGTGGAGAAGGATACGAAGTTGATAGCAGGGTATGAGAAATTTAGCCTCATTACCATTTACGTTTTTATTTTCTTAATTGATGATGATAAATAAATTGATTATGAAAAAATGCAATTCTTGTCCAGTTCCTGTGTTATACGATATATATTCATTAAGATTACGGCCTTTGGCAAACATTTTATATTGCAAATTACAATTTGTACTGCATCTGACGTTGGGGGACGCCTTCTTTTTGTCATCTGGATTCTGGCGTAAAATGGTGTCTTGTTTTGTGTGTGTGTGTGTGTGTCATTGCCATGAAAAGTATAATTTGATAAGAATGTCTACGTTTGGTCATTGGATCAAGCTTTTTCCTTGCTCCTTAAAATATCCAGGTTAACATAATTCTTTTAGAATTTAGCAATACCAATTTACACATTTCACTTAAAAAAACATGTTCTTTTATATATATACTTTCCAAAGTTCACTTTCTGTTGGCACTTCTTTGTTGATTTGGAAATTGTATGCAACAGAGAAGATGCTGAACGAGATAAGACATCCAAAAAGTTTGTTCTCCCTTATGAAAGTTTACAACCATCTCCCGAGGGTAAGTAAACTGGTGGTATTCATGCTGTTTTGTTCTCTTCGTCGTGAAAAAAATATGTCTCTTCATGTTAGTTTATCTTCAATTTCTGCAGATATCTCGGAAATCAAGCAGCTTTTCGACAAGCTTGTCATATTGAAAGTCAATAGTAGTCTGGGGACTAAGATCGGGTTTAATGGCCCCAAGTAAGTGCTTGTAGGAAATGAAATGGTTTATCTAGGAAATATTTTTACTGCTGATGGTTCAGTGTTCTGTCAACTTGTAGACATTTGGTATCTATTGCTTCTGTTTCTTTCCATTTATTATTGAAGTGTACGATCAGTGTTTGAGTAGAATGTAACAGTTTACAATCTTTTTATTGGCTCATTGCCCTATCCACCACTAATTTCTCCACTTAGGAAGTATAAATTAGTACATTGTCGATGAATATATGACAAAATCTAGTCCTGGCCTATTCTTTTTTCACCAAAACCAAGATCCAAAACATAGTGTAATATCTATAAGTGTCGACACTCAAGTGTTGAGAGTTTCACCTATTTAACATGCTCATATGATGTCTTTCTGCAAATAACTATACTCTCTTTGCCATCCATTTTTGCATGATGCAGGTGTGCTATGGAAATTAGTAGTGGTGTGACATGCCTTGACTTGTTAATCAACCAGATTGAGGTCTTATTTCTGGGCCTTACTGTCTACTTTTGATTCAATTTGAACGAGAGTTCAATATTATTGGTAGCTCTAAATAGGATTTGAAAGTCGTTGTATACTGGGTTTATGATTGTCATATTGGCCGTAGGCACTAAATGAAAAATATGGATGCAATATTCCTCTGCTCTTGGTGAATGCAGAAAATGCACATGAGGGTATATTGAAGGTAACTATTCTTGTATATTCAGATACAGTTGAGTTTTTTATGAAGGCTAATAGCTGCTACGTACTTTTTGTAGGTCTTGGAGAAACACACGAATAAGAACATTCATTCTGTTACTCAGGTTCTCTTGTTTTGATGCTTTATATGTATACCACTGGGATTTTGTTAGATTTTGAATAAGTGACATGCTTATGACAGAACCACCATCTCCTGGAACATGATGACAACTCTAAGCCTCGTTCAACTAAAGAGCGAGATAACCAGGATGAAATGTATGTAGTCCCGTTTTCTGTCTTTCTTTCTTTTTTTTTTCTTTTTTTTTTTAAAGAACGGAAAAAAAAAACAATTATGGTCCGTTAAAATAGTTTGGATGGTTTTGAATCTCCTGATGAGAATCGTCAAATTCTATATTAACTGGAGCATAATGGTAGTATTAAATGGCGCCCCATGGCAAGAGATGGCTGAGGTGGATGTAAAATTGCCTCGCGCTCCTGAGGCGGAGCCGTCTCTGAGGAGGGTGCCTTGCATCGTCTCAAGCCGCCTTTCTTGTGGCGAAAGGCACCTGACAGCACTGAGCCTATTTTTGTTTTCTTATCCTGGCTTTTATTTTTATCTTTAGTTTTTTTTTTCTGATTTCATTTAAATTTTAATTTTCTGTCTCTATTTTGTACTTTTTGCTTTGTATTTTAGTTTTTGTTATTTTATTTTTCTAATGTTGATTTTCTTGTTTTAATTTCATTTTATGCTTCTATATCTAATATTGTGTTTCTTATGAAATTTGTGGTTGTTTTTTCCATTTGAACTTAAATATCTAATTGCATTATCTATACTAGTACGTGGCCCGTGCGATGCACGGGAAAATAATATTTTGATTGTATTATAAATTAAATAAATAAATAACAATAATCATGATTTACGTATTATTTATAAATTAAACCGGGTTGGACACAGTCCGACCGGATGGACCGAGAACCGGTTTATAACCGATTTAGTGCGCTTGAATAAAATATTTGCTATCGAATCCGCCAACACCAGTATGTTGGACTGGTAAGATCGATACGATTTTCTAAACAAATTTTGTTACATGAAAAAATATTTTAAATAAAATTACATATTTAAATAAAATAGAGATTTATAAATTGTTTATCAATTAGTTTAAACATTTGAATTTATAAATTGTTTAGATATTTAAGTAACACTTTTTATTTAAATTTATTACAAAAAGTATTATGTATTAAAATCCGAACAACCACAAGACGGCCCAATTCTGAAAACCTTATATTTACCGTACATTAATAAAAATGATAATCAAATAAATATTTTGTTCACATAAATAATGATAAAATGATATATAAATATTCATAAATCATTAATCATGTTGTCATAAAAGTATTGTTAATATGATTATTTGAAGTTTGGACTACATCACATTCACGTAATAAAGTATTTTCAATATTAAAATTTATATTTAGGTTCAATAATCAATTTGGTCTGGTCAAACTGATACATAACTTAGTTACCTCGGACCAACCAAGTTGTGTCAAGTTTTTTGACTATTTTAAATATCACCTAAAAGTAATTCAATCAAAGTGGGCAGTACCTTAATTCAATCACCCGATTGATCCAAAGTAATTTCCTTATTTTTCTTTAAATATAATATTTAATTTTATGAAATAAAAATATTTTATGATTCATATGTCTACACCAAATGATAGTATATTAAGATTATAAATTATATATCTAAAGATGAACTATTTATTTTCATTTTATGCATATTAATAAAAAATAAAGATAGTAATTTAAAAAAAATTAAGATTAATTTATTGGGTATGCAATTTAAAAAATATTTTTAGCGTTCAATATATATATATATATATTTAACATGATTGAATTTTTGGATTAGAATATATATATTTAAAATAATTTTATCATTAAAAGTCAAAAAGAAAAGATGCCAAAAAGATTACAACTTTGAAAAGTTTGTAACCATTAATTTAGGAACCCTCCGATTTTAAATGATTTATAATTTTTGAAACATGATACGTGCATTTAAAACCCATTAATCTAGGAACTATTCAATTTTCTGATAATGAATTAAAATTAAAATGTAAAAGTTGCTAAAAATAGTATATAATAAATGTGGTTGACTTTTCCTGACTACTATTTATGGTAAATGTTAATTCTTATTATATATATATAGATTATAATATTTTTATACTTTGTTGTCTTGTGTTCGCAATGGCCTTGCCTCTTGCCTCATGGCCATGCTATAGGCAAATCACCTCGTATCACATACGCCATTTAAAACTGGGAACTGGCGTTTATTCTTTTGCTTCCTCTGTTTTCTTCCTGTGAGCTTACCACCCTTCAAATGCACTATTTTTATCCTGTTGCTTTAATTTCCTTTTTCCTTGTGAAGGAATAGCATCAATCTTGCTGGGGTCTTCCTCCCACTGATGGATGGCGGAAAATTGGATGTGCTAGTATCACAGGTTGGGGACTTCCTTCTTATCATGGCTTATTCGAGCAAACTTTTGAAAGAAATCTGGTATTTATATTGACATAGAACGGGCACCTAATTTTTGTAAAATACTCTGACATGCTGCTGTTTTCCAACAGGGGAAAGAGTATATCCTGATGTTGAGTGATGATAATCTTGCTCATGTCATTGACCCAAGTATCCTCATCTGAGATCACAAATAATTTTCGTTTATTCAAATTTTATGTTATTATTTTCTTTGTGATATTCAAATCCGCATTGTTGTATATCCTGTCAAGTCTGATTGTAGTGAGAATTGAGCTCCTTAATGCAGGGATTTAGAAATCTTAAATCATTTGATTCGGAATAAAATTGAGTTTTGCCTGGAGGTATGCTTCATAAATTGTGTGACTTGCGATACTTTTATTCGTAGCTATTACTTAGTTTTCCTATGTGCAGGTGATGTCGAAATCTTCTGACTTAGAAAAGAGTGAACTTCCACTGAATGAAGATGTTTCGGTTGGTTATTTCTCTCTCTCTCTCTCTCTCTCTCTCTCTCTCTCTCTCTCTCTCTCTCTCTCTCTCTCTCTCTCTCTCTCTCTCTCTCTCTCTTCTCAAGTATCATCTATCAAAACTCATTAGTCGTGTTTTAGAGCACAAAAGCTGAAAGTACTGTTTTTGGTTAATTTTAAACACGGTGCTCTCTAGGCTCAACTGAAACAGTCCTTGCTTATCTTGGTATCTGAGCTTGGACCAGGGCAAACTATCAAATCCTTATGAGTCTAAAAATTTGACGAATTGAATATAAATTTACAATTAACCTTAGAAACTAAAGGGAAGAGTTTAAGTATTTTCCTCTTCTACACCGGTTCTTTTGCGCTCACAATTATCTTTCAGCTTGTTAATCACTATTCAAAGCCGTGATGGTTGTGTTTGTTGACTTTCCTTTTTCCATATCCTGAAGACTCCAAGACCGAAGGAAAATTGGAAATCCATTGACACGATGTAAGATTTGCTCTTGTAAACTCCTGTTTCCTATTTAGAAGGAATGAATCATTTCTATTCATGCCTCATGTGCCCCTAATTTTATCTAGGTGGATGAACATCAACTCTATTGAAAGCCTTGTGGAAAGACGTGCTGCAAAGGGGAATGTGACCATTTCAGAGGTGAATTCTGTTTATTTCTTAAAAATGCTCATTTATACTAATTTGAATTATTTGGTCACAGCTTTGAATCTTGTTTCCTTCATCATTTTATATGACTATGTTACTAAAATATTCTAATATCCACCCTTGCATGTGTCGCCCAGCTGTTCAATCAGTATTTTGCTTTGGGTGTTCCTAAAGCAAGATATTTGCCCGTTAAAACGACAACAGATCTATTTCTGCTGAAGGTAAGTTCTAGTTTCTACCTCTGAGTGTTCATTGTTTTTAATATGTTGGTTATATCGTATTTACGGCTGGTTTCTGCTTATGCAGTCTGACTTGTACACATTTACGGATGGCACACTGACTCGAAATACAGCCAGAGAAAATCCTGATGACCCATATGTTGAATTGGGACCAGAATTTGAGAATGTACTGCCTTTTGAACTTAGACCCTTTGTTCCATGCCTCTTTCATTTGCTTGTCGGATGTCCATATAAATTCTTCCTTTCTTTTGATTAGGTCAATGACTTCCAAGCACGATTCAAGTCCATTCCTAGTGTTATCAGGCTTGACAGCTTGGAGGTGACTGGTGATGTTTGGTTTGGAGCTGGGGTAACTCTTAAGGTAACAAAGTTTCTCCATGAGCAGTCTTTTATACCATCTTATATCTGTGTGTAAAAAAGCAAAAAATAGGATAACTAGCTATCACCGATTTAGTTATGTTATCATTTGCAAATCACCGAATAGGGTTGTTATGTTAATAGTTATGTTATCATTTGCAAATCATCAATTTAGTAATTTAAAACTAAAGTCTTAAAGTGCTTTAGTTTCTTCCAGTTTAGGGCTCGAGAGATATGAAAATGATCAATTTTAAGACTAAAGATTAATACTAGTTATACTCTTTTTAATAGGTGGTGACTTTACCATCAAGAAAATAAATGAAAAACCCATGTATTGGAAAAATATCATTAAATCCTTGCTCCAATCTTGTTTTTATTTTTGTAGGTGATCAAAGTAGAAATTAAGTATTTATTTCCATCTATTATTTTTATTGATGTTCAAATGTTTATTATTTATAAACTTTTATATTTTAATAATTGAGGTGTAATACAAAATTTTAATGATGTTTTTCATCTATTTTTTTATTTTTATTTATTTTAAGATTTTTTATTTATTTATTAAAATTTGAAGACATAAATGGAGGGTTTTAGATATTACGGGTTCCTAATTACTAGATTTTGTCTTTCAGGCCCCAATAGTTGATTGCTGACCACTTTTCGTATCTCGGATTGATAAATTTTATGTTTCAGACCTTAATTTATAGTTCACTCATCTTTCGAAATCCAGACAGATAAAACTATTGAAAAGTAAATGGGTACTAAGTATTATGAGAATTAAGAATTAAGAGACTTAATTTTTCTAGCGCGCTATTGTTATTGTTATATTACTACCTTGAAATAGCGAAAAGAATTTTTCCCAATAAAATTACAATAACATAGAATTCATCAACAAGATGGTTTCAAAAAAGAGTGGTGATGTTATGTTCAATTCAATTTGTTTAATCTCTTTTTTTAGAAGTCATATATCATGCTGTTTATTCCAATGAACTTTAAAGTATTACAATACAAATTAATCATAAAAATACATGTAAAATAAATTCTAAGAGAAGTAGTTTTTGTAACATCTTACAAACAGGTTCATTGAAAAACAGAAAAACTCATTTGACACTACTATAAAAAATTTATAATGAAAAACCAAATAAAAGTACTGTCCCGAGTTAAATTTTGCATCAGTCTAAGCTTGTTTCTTTTGAGGACGATCAATGAATCAATTCAACTTCAATTTTTCCCCTACAAACATTTGTTTATACATAGATAGCATAAAAAGTCAAGATTTGGGGGAAAAAAAACAGCCCAATTTCTAACATGGATTTTGGTAAGCATCGACTTCCATGTCAAATTAATAGCTAGGTCCAAATGAGCTCCAAATTTGCAAATAGCTCATTATATATTTTTCACTTGTTCTTACCTACGGATGACAAATAATGTTTTTTTTCCTGTGTAAAATATTTCCATTTTCACCTCCAATGGCTTATTTCTGCGAGCTGCTTTAGAATTTTTTTTGCTATACAACGTGACAAGGCCATGCTTGCATAATGAGCACAATTAGGAATGCAAGTTATACTCTTTGCACGTCCCTGATAAATTATGGAGCTACCTTTGTAGTTCGTCATTGGGATTATTTATCTGGGCTATATACCCACATAAATTTTTTTGTCTTTCAGTAAAAATATATTTTTTCTGCAATAAAATACATAGAAAAAGACATTACTTTGACAATCCCTTATTTCCATTGCACCATAGTTAAGAATCATCATATCACAAATTATTTGTTAAAATATATAATTTTGCATATTTAAGAATTAATATTTTGGTGCTTAGCATTCATTTCTCTTCCAAATGTGAAGCCATATCTCTGAAAAAGGAGATACAATATTACAAATATATTAATTGTTTTTGTTAATCTTTTCAATTTTGTGTTAGTACAAGTACAACTTTTGATAATATTTTCTACAAGTTGCAAATGAAGTGAAGGATTTATGTGTAATATTTAAAGTAAGTTGTAGTTATAAAATCAACTAAATATAAATTATATCCAATTTCATCTCGTCGGANATGACTTTTCATCTATTCCTACCTTTTTATCTGTAACCATATCAACACAATTAAAAAAATTATAAATTAATCATTTTTATACATTTTCCAAAAAAAATTCGCTATTCATCTATTTATATATTTTTTACTACCAATAATTTATAATTACTATTTTATTATTATCGCATCAACTTTAATCATTATATTTTATCTCAATATCCCATATTCATTCACAAACTAAAATATAATTCATTCTTCCACCCATTATTGTTTTCACTTTTTTTTTTCATCACTTTACTATTGAGACAATTTTTCCCAAAATAATCTTTATGCAATCGCATCAGATTGGTGCTCCATTTTCTACAAAGGTGTGATTTCTTTTGATAAATTGAATTTTTTGTCTGCTAATATTGAAGAATTTTCTGTTGAACAAAAATTGGAACAACAGTCATCTTTTTGTCTTTAAAATGATTTATACATGTATATTATAAATATATATTTATGTTTCTTTAAATCCATTTTAATCTATTGTATTACTCTTTTTATCTTTGTTGAATCCATTGAAAGTTGAAAATTGGGAAAGCGTGTCTTTCAATATAGAGGAAAAGAGAGCTAGCTGCAGGGAGAGAGATATAGAGAATAAAGAAAATCTCATTAAGACATTTTAAATGAAGGTGATTTGAAAGAGTAATTGAGTTTTGTAAAATTAAACTGTGAAATACATTATGATAATTTAAGGCTAAATACCAATATCCGGGCATGTATATACCAATTTTCAAGCGTACAAAGTGTGTACCCAATGCTTTTGATTGATTGTTTCTATTAAATCTATCAACTATTACCATGATATTTTGTCATTTTGTGGTGTTCTGTTTTATTTTATTTGTTATTTTTATTTCTAAAGGGGGAAGTTAGTATACATGGGAGACCAGGTCTGAAGATAGTAATACCCGATGGCTCAGTGTTGGAAGATAGAGTAAGAGATCCGAAATTTCAGAGTTAGCAATATTATTGTTTCTAACTACTTTTACTGTTTTACTATTTTGAGTGCGGATTCTTTCTGTGACAGATTATCACTAGCCAAGCAGATGTTTGAGAAGTATCGGCATAGCTTTCATAGACTGGATATGGGAGTCGATGCCCAAGGACTTTGTTGTGATGAAATTTGTTTTTGATTCATCTAAATATAAGGGTTAGGTCGCACTCATTTTGCATGATGCCTGCTAGTGAATGTGAAAGAATGGGTGAAATGAACTATAGCCAATAAGTCATGTTCCGTTGTGTTTGCACTTTGCAGAAGTAAATTCTTGCGGTTTTTTTTCTACTT